TATAATTAGTTAAATGATTAAATCAAAATCAATATTTATATTTTTAATAAAAATTAATTATAAAATAATATATTTATGACATTATTATCTCATACCTTACATAATAGAAAAATATTTATAAATTTATAAATGAGTTTGTTTGATTTATATCTTAAGGGTATAGATTAAAAATGCATTAAATGGATATTTTTACAATTTATTTACAAAACAAAAATTAATTTTTATCTTAGTATTATGAATAGTTTTAATTAATTAATTAATTACTTAAATTCAATGTACCTTTTATCAATTTTTATATAAAATTAATTATAATAAAATATATTTATTACCTTTTTAATATATATTCTAAAAATATAAATAAAAAAATACTTTATAAATATCACAGTCACATTGTGAAATTTTGAGTAAAAAATACCTCCTCTATTTAAAGATCAGCATCTCATAAAGGAATGTCATTATTCACCTAATTAATTCGTAACTTCCCAACCAACCTTACCCAACAAACCCGCCGACATTCGTAAATGCCCTTCCGATGCCCATTTTTTATTATCTTCACCTTATTCTGTTATTCACTCATTAATTTTAAAATACCCGGAAAGGACAAAAACACTCTTCTATTCTGCTCTTCGTACTTGTACATTTTGGACACGCACTACCCTTCAGTATTCCTTAATTGACACGTGTGCCTCGAAGCTTTCAATCTTTGATTCCCGGACCCCAAATTTGTTTCTTTTACAGCTTAAAAAGCGTTTGAGGTACGTTACGCGCTTAAATTCGCGGAGGTATATAAACAAACGGCAAACGAAATCCTGGTTAACATTTTCCGTCTAAGTCTCAGGTCCTTACAAAATAAGCTAAGTACCGGCGAGTCTATGGCGATCGTCGACCGGCGGAAGCCGAGCTCCGAAACGAAGCTGTTCGGGCTGTGTCCGTTTTGGCAGAGCACGACGAGTTCTTCTTCTTCTTCCTCTACTCAAAACCTAAACCTCAACGGAAGCCGCCGTGTGGACAGCACCGGGAATAATAATAAACGCTCCTCCACGGTTTCCTCGGTTGCCAGATCGCTGCTCCCTCCCAGACGCCGGCTCCGGCTCGACCCTGCCAATACTCTGTACTTCCCCTGTACGATTCCGTTATTGGCGTATTCGTTGACTTGTAAATCTTCGTTTTGTTTAAGTTTTCTGAAGTTGTTCTTATTTTCCCCTTTTTTTTCTGTTATGTAGATGAACCAGGAAAACAGACGAGGAGTGCGATCAGGTTGAAGAACACGAGCAAATCTTACGCCGCGTTCAAGGTAGTAATTTTTTAATTTTACAGTCGGAATTTACCGTAATCAGCATTTTACCATACTGTTTAATCGGAAGTGTTCGTGAATCGTTACAGTTTCAGACCACCGCGCCGAAGAGCTGTTACATGCGTCCGCCCGGCGGCATTCTTGCGCCGGGGGAAAGTATCATCGCCATTGGTAATTGGAATTCCCTGAATTTCATATGTTATAAATCTTCTGTTTTTCTGGTTCGCTAATGTGGTGTATGGTTTGGAACCAATTCTGGCTAGTTTTTAAGTTCGTAGAGCAGCCAGAGAACAATGAAAAGCAATTGGATCAAAAGAGCAAGGTTAAGTTTAAGATAATGAGCTTGAAGGTGAAGGCGGGGATAGAGTATGTTCCCGAGCTGGTAAGTGCCCTGGATCCTTTAGTTGCTAAAATAGTGTAGTGTATGTAGTATATGTTAGCCTGTAACTTGGGTAGTTGGGTTTCCGTTCTTGGGATATTCTTTTTGACATTTACATTAATGAATTCAAATGAAAAGTTGTAAACATTCTTTTGTTATACAATATGACAGCGGTACTAAACTACTAATGGTGAACGAATGTGTAATTCAGTGATTTTTCCTTTAATTTTGAGCACCATCATAGGAATACCTGTCTATTTAGTTGGGGAGATTTTGTGCTTAATGAAATGAAAAATGGATTCACGTATTTGGTACATTGGCCAACCGCCTTATATCCCTGTAATGGTCAAGCATGTGTAAGCTTATGATCCTACTGTATGTGAAATGAATTTTGTTTCATTTCATAGCCAGACCACTGCCTTATTTTGAATCTCAGGTTGTTTTATTCTATGCCTTTTGTTCAATATGATTCTTTTGGTCACACTAGTCATTTGGTTATTAGGATCAATGATTGTGCTAATATGTATTTTCTCATTTGATCTTTTGTTATGCAGTTTGATGAGCAAAGGGATCAAGTGACAATAGAAAGAGTTTTGCGGGTTGTATTTTTAGATGCTGAGCGCCCTAGTCCGGTGAGTAAAGTTCAGTGGTTTTGGTGGTTTCATGTGTGATGGGATTCAATTTTTTGACAAAGTCACATCATGGTTGTTTATTTTTTAGGCATTGGAGAAACTGAAACGCCAGTTGGCTGAGGCTGAAGCTGCTCTTGAAACGCGCAAGAAACCTCCAGCAGAAACAGGTCCCCGAATTCTGGGGGAAGGTCTTGTGATTGATGAATGGGTAATTATATCCTAGCAATTCTTAGTTTACCCCATTGTATTTCTTTTCTTTATGTATCTTGTCCTTCCTTTTTGCCCCTCAGAAAGAGCGAAGAGAGAAATATCTGGCTCGACAACAAGTTGAAGCAGTAGATTAGTCTGAAAGTTGCTGTTGACTCTGGCCGTAAATGTTTCTGTGCCTGAATGAAGAGGTGTAATCATAAGTTACAACCCCCGCTAACCGGGGATCTATAGAAAGAGAATGGAGGTAGAACTCCACAAATCTTTCATCATCATCCTAACCAAAGGAGAACAATATGTGCTCAATTGCACATGGCACTATCTTTCATATGAACAGTATAATCAAGGTACCGGACATTGCACTGAGCTGGAGATCTTTCTTGTAGATAAATCAGTTTTGTTTTCTCATAATAAATAATTGCAAAATATAATTGCATCTGTTTGTTTTGTACAGCCCTGCTGTGATCATAATTGTCTCAGGCTGTTAGCCATGTATTTTGAGATGCAATAAATTGATTAATGCTTGTATCATATAATGTGCACCTTTGATGTTTCTAAAGCAGGTATTTCCGTTCTGGTACAATTGTTTAGAAAATGAATGTAGAACTTGAGTATCTTCTCCATTGCAAACTTGAAAGGAAGATTTTCCATCCAGGGGAATCTTTTCTGAGAAAAATATAGTTTTCAGAATTGTGCTGCCTGGACTGCCTTCGCATTCCAAATTCCGGGCTAAAGGTAGGTACATTGGCTTCTCAATCCATCTTCTCTACCACAAAACAGAAACAATAGGATGAAGAATGTGGAGTATAGAGGTTAAGAAATGAAATCAATAAACCTAAAGCAGAACACATCCTGTACATGAAGTGCCAAAAAGTTGTCAAAGCCAGGAAACGCAATTGTGAAAGAATCAAATTCAATCTCATACATCATCTGGTAGCTGAAAGTTCTGTGAACCGAAGATTTGATGGGCTTTGTTTTGAAGAAAGATAGCTACACCACATTTACTACTATTGAAGCCATCCCAGAGGGCTAGAGTAACAGTTCCGGTCACTGTCTTCGTGGCATTCATGTCTTTGACGGTGCAGACCTTCTCAAGTTTTCTCACTACAAAGTCATTGACCAGTACTTTCCCTTTGTTCTCTCCGCTGGGACAGTCATTCACCAATCTATTCTCGTACAATGCCAACATGATATCAACCCCGTTGCTGTCTATCTTTGTCCTTAGAGCTCCAGAGATGGACACTTGCAAGGACTCTGATGTTGGTCTCTGGAAAGTCGCCTGAAAACTCACACACACCAAATATATATCATGAATTAGCTTGGACTCTGTTTCTGGCATTTTAACAAACACTTGTCAAACAAAAACAATACATACCTGGAAGCCTGTAGCAGGGAACCTGGGTGCATTACAAATGGTGGACAGCAAAGTATCCTGATCGTTAGCAACACACTGGGTCGTCCCCTGAACCACCACCTGTGGAGTAAACATGGTGTCGAGCTTCAACGCCTCTACATAAGCCTTTTGCCTCACAGTCCATTGGCTTGAACCATAAGGGTCCTTCCACCCCGCGTAATCCCAGTAATCAACGTGATACGCCAGCACCATCAGGGGCACATTCAGCTGGAAGTCCCCTCTCCCCAGCCTCGATATTAGCACCTCTGCCTCCGGTGACGTCGCGCATCCCTGCGACGAGAACAGCTCCACCACGACCGGCCCCTCTGCGGCCACGTCTACCGCGCTGCTGCTCTTCCCATTACCTCCTTCGTTCTCCGACCCACCCCTGCCAAAACAAGCGAAGAGACGGAATACCATGGTATCCTGGTGCTCGTCTCCTCGCCGGTAAGAGACGGTAGCGCGCGGTGGTGGATTGGATCACAGGAAGAGAGAGATATTCAAAATTGAAAATGGCTGTATTCTATCTCTCTATATCTAAGAATACAATACCTGGAGATATAGAGAGGAAAGAACAGAAATTGTTTGGAGAAGAAGAGCTGAAATGTTGCAGTATGAGTTGGTGGATGGGAGAGAAAAGTGGCGATGAATATGCGAGTCTGTACGTTTTGAATATTTCCGTCTGAAAAATACAAACATTTCTGCTTGTATACTTTGGTTTATAAATTCAGGTTAAATCTGCATTCATAGAGTATAAACAGATTTAACCGATTAAATAAAAAATATATATTATTAATAATGGGTTTTTTATATTGCCACTTTTTGTTATAAATATATAAAAAAATATATAAAAACTAATATTAACTTTAATATTAGTACTAAACAAATAAATTTAATTAAATAATTAATAAATTAAAAATTAATTTTTATTTTTTAATATAAATTTATTAAAAAAATGTATTTATTAGCACTTTCTTGTTTATTTTGATTTCTTCACCATTGTTCAACCATTACAATTTACATAACCTTGGATACTTTACTTTAGGTAAATTAAAATTTAAACTAAAATAATGTTAGTCACATTAATACAATTACCACCATCAATAACGGTTATTGATTATGAAATTATTTGAGAAACTTTTTGCTTAATTCATTTGCGAACTTATAGAATTTATCAAAATTATTCTTGTAGTATTCTAATTTAACTTATAGCTTTTCATTCTTAATCGTTCTTTAATGCAACATCAAAATTTCGTTATACTTTTTATTCTTGTTTGAATATAAATGACATAACAAGATTTAGGTGTAAAAAATTTGACAAAAAAAGTATAACTTTAAGTATGTATTTATTATATATTGAAAATAGTACTTATCAGCTTTATTTTTTAAAGATTATGAGGAAAATCACCTTAAAACTACGTCATTTTAATAAATTTTTATTGAAAAAGACTAAATTATCCTATTTTTAAAACATGTATTAAGGTGATTTT